GGGTCCACTGGCTAAAGCCAGATCGCTGGTTGGGGCCTGCAAGTGACTCTGACATCCAGTGATGTTGAAGGGCCAGTGACCTGCCCGTGGAGTACGGACTCTCGCTGGCGTTGAGGCTCCCCATGGTCTTCCTGGATGGGCTTCAAACCTCCTTTCTGGCCCCGATGCCCTGGGTCCCACCCCCGCCCAGACTACTTGCTCTTCCACCCTCACATGGGAGGAGTTACTACCAGGCTGGGCTCTCCGCCTAGAATTCCTGCTTCTATGGATTGAAATCTCAGGACTTCGAAGCTCAGGTGAAACGCCGCCTTCTTTGTGATGCTTCCTTTAGTTCCCCCAGCTGCCTCATCCCCCTTTCCATTTTGTCATCATCGTCTTTCATTCCATCTGCTGCTGCCCTGGAGGATGACACTGCCCCCAAGTGAGTTGACGTGCCCCCAGTGCCAGGCCAAGGGACTGTGCGTGTCCCCTCACAGTGGCTCCGTGTCCTAGCCATCCTTGTGTCTTCCTCAGTACCTTGGTTAAAAGCTGTTGGGTTGAAAGAAATCACAGAACCTGAGAAGAAACCAATGCTTCGTCCAGACTCACGATGCGATTCTAGCTGGAAACCGTTGCAAGAGGAACGCCACCAATGTCAAGTCCTGCTTTTGCGAGCCCCCTCGCCAGAAGGGAGGGAGGATGTGCAGTAGAATGTCCCCTCACTTCACAGGCCAGGGCACCACTCCGGAGCAGGGACTCAGAAAAAGGCAGAGAAGTGTTTGCTGGCACGTGGGGAGTGCAGCATGGGATACTAGTCAGGAGGGGTGGAGGGGAGGAGGGCGTGGACGGGCAGTGGCCCCGCACCCCACAGCATGGCAGGTGGAGGGGAGGAGGGCACGGCACGTCAGTAGGACGTGCATGGCTCCTGCTTATGTTTCTCTTATACACCTGGTCACACCACAGGGTTTGTGGTCCCTGGAAAAGTAAAGTCCCTCCTGGGGTTACGCAGTGCACGCTGGGACATCCTCCTCCACCACACGAATGGTTACGCAGTGCACGCTGGGACATCCTCCTCCACCACACGAATGGTTACGCAGTGCATGCTGGGACATCCACCTCCACCACACGAATGAATAAAGCCAAGAGAAATCTCGCTCAGACGCCACAGGGATGCATTCTCTGTAACTCTCAAGTGTCCTTCCGATGCCAGATGGCCCCGCAGTGCCTGAGTCCTGAGCATCTCCTGCCATGGGAGACCACAGCAGAATCCACCACACCTCACCATCAAAGGCTGGGGAGGCGACGGGCCCCACCTCGGCTGAGGATGGTGCCGCCAAGGCCAGAAGCTGAGTATAAGTCGACATTCAAAGAACAGACTTTCCTTGAAAAGTATTCAATAGGCCAGTGCGAGAAAACAGTGTCCACTAAATACACACTCATCAACTTCATGTTTTCACAGGGATATCGAAATGATCACATCCTGCAACTAAACTTTGCACCTGGAACTTGAACTTGATTTTCAAATGGAATTCGGAAGTTTCCATGAATTAAAAAAGGAGGGTGGTTTATAATGCATAAACCAGACTGGCAGAGGAGAAGAATGTATTAGGGTTTTTTTTTTTACTACAAACAGTATAAAAAGAAGTCAGGAAAGAGTAGACTTCACCCCCGAAAGGAAGGCAAATAACTCATAAAATGAAACCTTCACATAAATCACAAATTAGCAACATTTAACATTTTAAGCTTCCCAAAAGTTCTGTGCAGTCCACTCTTGATGAGCAGATGGAACCTGGAAGAATTAATTTGTGAAACTGTGACGGTCTCATCAGACACTGCAGCCACCCATGAGTGTTCAAGGTAAAGCAAAATGCATCTGCCAAAGAAGCGTAATTAAAATATGCACAGCATAACTCCTGGGATCTTATATTTGATATAAGTTAGCTCCATTTACACTTAGAAGATCCAAATTAAAACAGAGGCTAAATTCAGTGAGCAGAGAGAAAAGCCTAGCCCATGGATTTATTCTCAATGCACTGCCTCCTGGCTTTGGTGATTTTGCAAAGAATTGAAAGAAAAAGCACAACATTCAGAATAGAAAGGGAATTTCTGAAGGTAGTTTCATAACTGAAATTTCAGTTTGAACTGGATGAGGGACGCTGTTTAGTTCAATGACCACTGAGGACCTCCGGCGGGCTTCGGGGTGTTCAAAGACAGCCAGGATTCAGCCCGCCCCAGTGGAGGGCCCCGCAGCACAAAGGCACCAAGAAGGGGTGGCGAGAGGACAGCCAGGGTGCTCACAAGCTCAGCAGGAAGGAGGCTCACATCTCATGGAAGACTCAGGATGGTTCTGGTAGAACTGTCCTCTTGAAACCCTCTGCTGCCATTATTGGGTGCTGGCCAACATGCCTTATGCAAAACACTGACAATAGCATCCACCTTTCCGGAATGCTAGCACGTTCTGGGCAATGCTCAGACTGTCCTGTGAGTTGAATGCCCCTGGCAGGATGCACGTCCACTCCCGCAGGGCCATGGTGCCTCCCTTGTCTCACTTCTCTGCTTTGACCCTTCCCAGAACTCTGAAGGTTTGAGATGAAATGACTGAGCCACACCTAGTGCATGAACAAGCACCAGGGCCTCTCTGCAATGGCTGCTTCAAGGGCCACAGAATAAGCATTGCGTGGTGCCCCCAGGTATTCCTTCTTTTGCTCATTGGTCCACCCTGAGAAGCCTCAGGGAGGCAGGACCCTCCTGTAAGGCAGCAGGAGAGGGTGGAGGGGCAGCCGACAGGTGCATCTCACGCCTCCATGTTCTCCATGGGGAGGGAAGTGGGCTAAGAGGCGAGTGGGGCAGAGGCCTAGGCCAATGTGAAGGGTTGGGAGTAAGTGGGGAGAAGACTGGAGGGGGTGAATCCAGGAGTCAGCTGAGGCTGCACTGTGCAAACACAAGCCTGGTTACGTCTGTGTAGCTTAGCTTCCCCAGCCCACCTGAGCCAGACGGGTCTGCCCGTGCTCCCCGCTTCTATTGACATCCAGCAACTCCAAATGACCTCTCCCATGTCGATGTGCTCATCTCCGAAGCCAAATCTTACAGCCTGCCTCTCTTCCCCACCAGGCTATAGCGGGAAATCATTGAGGAAACCATGGGTGAATATATCGCACGGCCTCTCGTGTCTGAGAGGAGGCTTCACAGCCAGCAGGCTGCCGCTGGTGGGCAGGTGCGCATGGAGGTTCTGCGCCTCCTGTGCGGTGAGTGGGAAGGGCAAGGAGAGCTTGTCAGTGGAGTGGGCCAGGCTGTCACATCAGATGGGCCAGGCCTCACATCGCTCCCTGTGTCCTAAGAAACGTCTGGACTTGAGTGCGTGGGTTTGTGGTACTGCAATGCCGCAGTGCCTTGGGGAGCCCCCAGGCAAGCCCAGAAAGTTCTAGGAGGCCACAGCCCTTCGAAGACTCAAGTTCAAGGGTTCAAAGCGGGGATTCCACGTCACACTTGTGAAGGTGCCCACCCCAACAGAATCTGTGGCTTTGCAGGACACGTCGGGGGCAGACCTCTCAGGCCTTGTCGCAGTGGCACTGCCCTCCCACTTGGCCTGGGTAGCCGCTCACACTTCTGAAACAGGAAACATCAGCTGCATTCCCGAGTGGGAGCCTCAGAGCATTAGCAAGAAGATAATGTTGCAACTTTTTAAAGCTAAATATATGTGGAGGGAAGCTGAAAGAGGACTTTTGACGAGTCACCTAATGTTGATGTTGAAATTAACTTAATGACCCTCTGGCTAAAATCTGTTCTCGCT